GTATATATATATGTAAACGCACATATATATATGTACAGTATATGGTAATTAGCAGCAGAGTGGTACAAAGTATGAACTCATTACTAAAAAGTACACGCTCTATTCATGTCATTGATGCAGTATTACTACCCGTGGGTCATACTAAGTACAAGTTTAAATGAACCTCCAAATACTGTGTATGTGCATGTACACACTCTACTCCTACTGTGTGTTTATTTCAGTGTTGAGGTGAGGGCAGTACGTACGTGGACCAGCCACAGTCATTATTCAACAGTGAATTTGTTTCCATACATTGACACGTATTCACACACGTATTCACACACGTATTCACACACGTATTCACACACGTATTCACACCACCACAGCCTGTGAACTGAGCAGCGTGAATAAATATTCTGTCGACGTCCGTCAGCTCGTGTTCCTCTCTGCGTCCAGACCTTGTTTTTCTCCAGTCTCACCTAATAGATTAGCATATTTGTATTGGTACTACACCAGTACACCAGTACACCAGTACACCAGTACACACATGCAAATACATAATAACTACAATGTTTGAGACTTCTTATTCTTTTAATTATATTATTCTTTTAATTTTACTGGTAATTGAGCTGGGGGTTTTTTTTTTTTATTATAATAATGACTTCTGTCTCAGTTAATAATTTCTTATTAACTGTTGGACAGAAAGTTCTAGTAACTGAACATCTTTTTTCCTGATCAGATGTTTAATTTTAAATGTTTTATTTATTTATTTATTTTTTTACTGGTATGAACAAGTCATTTAATTATATTGTTTTATACCAAATTAGTAAATTCTCATTTCTACGTTGGGGGGTGATTTCTTAGGTTGAAGGTGCTAAAAAGGAAATGTCAAATATCTGACTGTTGGTTTGTGGGCGCGGTGATTCAGTCTTGAGCTGGGGGTTTTTTTTTTTTTGTATTTGACCATTTTTCTGCACAGATGGAAGATTCAAAGAACCTGTTAACGAATCTGTCTCACATGCAAATGAGTGTGAAAACCAGCGTCTACAGATTGTGCTGTTTGACTTCCTGAATATTCATACGGCAGCGATCTGGAGAAAACATAGGGAACTGACTCACGTTCACGGGTTTTTTTTCTTTTTTTTTAGAAAATAACATGATAATAACAATAATACCATCAGTAGCTATCATTATTATTATTATTATAACTATTTTATTTTTATTGTAAAAATAAATACTGATTTTACTGTTTTTTTAAAAAAAAAAAATCTACTACATAGTTTTGATTTAAATATCAGAAAACTTTATGACATTAATACACATTTATGTTTAGTCAAACATGATGTTTGTGCATTGAGAGAAAGGGTTGGAAAATATTTGAGAGTATTTGATTAATCAGAACATTATCAGAATGCAGGATAATGTTTCAATTGATCGATTGGATTTTTTGGACCTCCAAAAAAAAAAAAATCGCAGGATAATGTTTCGATTGGTTGGACCTCCAAAAAAAAAAAAAAAATTCAACTTCTTTGTTTTCCTTTTCCTTTGTGTTTGTCCTGTGTGATCAGATTGGGGAAGAAAAAAGACGACAAGAAGGTTTCCAAAGCTGCTCAGTCCAAACTGAAGTCAGAGATGCTGAGTGACCACGAGTTTGAGAGGATGAAGGAGGAGAGAGAGAGGTGAGAGACCTTGAACCTTCATCATCATCAGTGACCAACACTTCCTGTAGTTCAACACACTCATTCACTCACCTGCAGTGAGCCAGTGCAGACAGGTCAAAGGTCACGGGTTGCAGACCCCTCTTCTAGCCTAATATCTTTGATGGTTTTCCTTCTGTCTGTCAGAATTGAGTCAGCGCATCCTGAGCTCCAGGCCCAGCGGTCCAGAGACCAGCAGGGCGGCGGTGCTAGGTCCACGTATCCGAACGTAGAGGACGACGACGCAGACCCCAACTACGCCCGGATACAGAACTTCAGGGACCGGGATGCGGTGTCGGGGCCTCAGTCTCCTCCTTACAGCTCCGTTCAGCACAACCACGGCCTCGCCGCTTCTCCACAGACCGCCGCCGCCGCTGCTTTCCCAGGGCATGGAAATTACCCCAACAACCCGGTGGCCGTCCCTGATGATGACCAAATTGACAGGCTCTACGCCAAGGTCAACAAACCAAGGGCGACTGGGCCTAATTCACCGCCTGCGTCGGCCGCCAGTGACAGGTAATGTGTTCGAACCTCGACCTGTTTAACCCCTTATTGTCTGGGTAAAACTACGAACCAGAGTCTGAAAAAAGGGCACTTTTATTTTTGGGAAAATCCGACGGCACGTAATGAAATACAAATCTATTATAGTTTTAATCTATGAACACTTTACTGTGAAACATGTTTAGTTGAATTTACTTTTGACATACTCGCAAGAGTTCAAGAAACAAACAACGATACAACCATCTTTAGTTCTGAATCTCTCTTCGTTTTTTTGTTTTTTCTTCAGTTTTTAAATCAGTCCTTCGTCCAAATCCAAACCCACACTCTGTAGCTGAGTTTTTTTGGCAGTAGATGATAAAGTATATGCAGTAACTAATTATCCAAAAATGAAAACAAACGTAAAGTTA